ATTCCTCACAAAGGATCCTCTCCAATTTAGGGTATCTGTCCTAACTGTGCTATTTATCATTCTTAAATGAAAACAAGACAGGGAGAAACTAGAGCTGCTCAAACTAAAATAACAGTACTTAGTCCATTAGCTAAAAAGGCAAATCCCACCATTGTCTGCTATTATTGAGGCTGAATCTTCTTAAAAAGAGTCACCTCTTGCTGAGGCCCTTCTTTGAAGACCATGAGGATCTGTAATGCACCAGACTCAGCCCTTCCTCATGTCTGTTCTCACAACCTGTCCCATGCCTGGTAATATTTAATAAAGAGCCCTTTCTTGGATTTCTTTGTCAAGTCAGAATCCTAAAATCACAGAAATTATCGTCACAGTGAAGGACAAATGCTTTCATTTGGAAAAAATGTTGATATGTCTAACACAGCATGTACAGATACATTAAACCAGGAATTTCTAGCCTAGTCATTTCAAAAGCTACACCTTACAGAATCATTGCAAAAGGGTAATAATGAACATGTAAATTAATATATAAAGTCACCCCCATCCTCCATATAGTAAAATGCTACATTTTATCCAGTTTTTGTAAATTTAGTAGTCCTGCAGATGTGACATGGGAAACATATCCCATAAGATAGGTACACACAGTAAGAACCAGGACTAAACACACAATTTTTGCAAATGCACAGTGGGTAACATTTCTGATGACAAGAGAGCAGTTAAGCTAGTCATAGTCTTAATTATAGCAATACGAAAGATTGAAAGATTATCAAAATAGCTGCAATTACGTTTTCCTGTTAATTTCATGCATTTACAGAACTATACATATAGCTAGTTAGGTACATGAGATTTTAAAACGGGAAGGGGACGCATTTCCATCAAAACAAAAAAAGACACACCACAAGCATTGGCAAAGGACTCAGGGGTGGAAGTAGATCCCGGCATTTAAAACACTGATTTTTCAAGTTATTGGCATGTCTTTAATTTGCTTATTTCTGGATGGATTTTGGAGGATTTTGAGGTTTGGAGATGGATGTTGTTCTGATCCTGTTTTTTGCTATTACAAGACAGGTAGTACAACGCTGGATGGAATGAAGCTCAGTTTAGTATTCTAAAGCGAGGATTCTAACCTGAGCTAAATCACAGCTTCCATAATCTCTAGAGAGGCTCTCCAGAAAATGATTAATTCTACTTTCCTTAAATATCTGTCTTAGGAGGAGATTAATAGCTCTCTAGAGGTCCCCAGATTCCTGCCTTAAACTAGATGTCTAAGTTTCAGAGAGCTAACATTCAGTGAGATGAATTCCACCCACTGTGTACCATGATTACTGGACATCTTGTATCTGAAAAAGTTGGCATGAGAGCCCCAAGGAAAGAAACAGCCTTCCCTTTTTTTTTTTTTCCAGTCTGAAATTTGGATCTGCAAGTACATGGGGATTATAAAGTCCAAACTTCTATGCAAAACTGTTCCTCCATATAAGTCCTGTACTTACTAACGTACTTAATCATGAGCATAATTTAAACAACAGAAACACCATCCATTTCCATAGAGCTATCTAGCCAGACAGCTCAGGATTATGAATATAAGTACACTACTTATGGGAAGATGCTTTAAATGGTAAAATTATCGTATTAATTTTTAAAACAACCAAAAGAATGACATATCTACCTACACGCCATCCCACACCAATTTCATACAGATAGTACAGAAGCCCCCCTTTAGTTTAAGAACAGGAGCACTTCAGAGCAAGCCTCTTTTTTTTGGACATGTTAGCAATGTTTTTTTTAAACATCTGTTGCCAAAGCACATCTTTTACAATGCTTCAGAAAGACAGACAAGATCAAAGATAAAAAAATGGAGTATCCTTAAAAGCAGAATTTAGATAACGTTACTGAGGGACGGTCTAGTGTTGGAGATGACGACCCAACTCGGGAATAATTAAATTCCTCCCAACTGAGGAATTGGCATAATTCATTTTGGATTAAATGAAACTAGAACAAATTTCCCTCTATATGACTGTTTCACAAGGAGACAGTCCACAGTAGTTATCGGACTTTGCATTCACACTCTACCATACCCTGTAACACCTTTCACGTGTAGACAAACAAAAAGGCACTTCAGCAAAGCAACACAGGAAATCCAGCACACCTCCTACCCAGGCTTTTCCTGCTGCACGAGTGGAGAGGAACTCAGTCTCCAGGTACAGTAAAACAACAGTTGAAAACAGAACTGCTATGAAACACCTTTTGCTATTACATTCACTTCACAAAAGTAATTTCTACATGAAAAACTTTGAGATTTATACATATATATGTAAGAATGGACACACAAAAGATTTTCATATATATACACAAACATATGTGTATATATATAATTTATACATACATATGTACAGATAGATATACCCACATAAGTATAAAATAACAGAACTAAAAAGACAGTGATCTATTCTTGCTTCTTTGTGATGTATAAGGAAGGTCTGAAAGCGTGTTGTTTTCTTTATCCTGGAAATATTAGAAATGTCAAGTCTGGTCTATCCTCTCTTTGGTGGAAGACTTCTTAGAGGTATAAAGCCATAACTAAAAGAGCTTCTTACCCACTGATTGAAGGTTAAAGTCTACAACTATAGATGGAAGTCTTTCCCAATTATTTGAATTTAATTATGTGTTAGCAACAGCTAAGTTTTGAATAGTCCAAATAGAAAGACAAATTGAAGTCTACTTTTAAGTGACAATAGAGAATTCCCAACCAAAATAACTTCAAACAGAAGGCACAACATAAGAAAAAAAATCCTTGAGTATAAACAAAGCATCAATTTAAACCTCCTTTATACTACCTAAAAAGCAAGAGAATGAAATCCTTTACACATACATGATTACAAAAACACTTTTTGATTGACTAATACTGTAGAAGTGAAACTATATTATTCACTAAGTTTACCAGTTTGAAGGCACAATGGCTATCACTTCATCCACATCCCATTCTATTTACAGTGAAAAACAAAAAAGAAGGATCTCTAAGAAAAAAAAGGAGATAAACACAGATGCACCCTGAGAAGTGAAATTTCACAACAAAAACATTTGTTCTGAAATACTGTTCTTTGTAAACTCTCATTATCTGAATCTGTGTTCTCCTATAACTAGGACAATAATGTTTAATACTCAATTACAATGAAAAATATTACTTGTAAATAAAAAAAAAGTTAAAAGTTAAGTTCCCAGAAAAATAAATCAACTCAAACCTGATTGAAAAAAATGAGGTCCCACACAGAATCAGACCCAAGCTGACATCTGTCAGTGTGGAAAAAAAAAGTAAATCAATCTAAAGATCTCTGACAATGTCCAGTTTTCAGGAGGGGAAGGGGGCGGGGGGAAGGAATGGCATCATTTAGTTGGAAATCCCATAGTGCCATCTGTGTGGAGGAAAAATAAAAAAGCCAACTGTGCATGCCCTTCTTTGGATCTGAAATTCCCAAAAGATTCTGTAAATTTTAAAAATCTGAAGAAAAAGGTCTTTTTAGAAAACCAGATAAATGTTCTGTAGCTGTTTCATGACATGGTTTATAAAGTATTGGCACCAGCACAGAGTTAAAAGCGTTCATTCAGGAGTCACAGAGATAGTCAAACCTTTAATGATTCGTAGCAGACTTCTAGTAGCCGTCGGTTATTTGCTGCATAAACTGAAGTATTCTTTGCCAGTGATCTTCGGTGCAATAATGTACTTCTGCCAGACAAAATATTTTCCTTCTTAGTCCAGTAGGTAGTAAGTGCCATCAATACAAGAATAGTGGAGACAATATCAAATTACAGGCTATATTTCATGGTCCATATTCATCAACAATGGCTAAAAAGGTAAAATTCTAAACTCAAGCTGTACATAGCAACATACTCTAGCAGTGGTATTCAAGAAAAAAAAAGAGAAAAACTTCATCCAAGGAAGTGCAAAGGGAAGAAACCTCTAGAATTTGTCCATCGACACAGTTCTCCTTCTCCAGAGGCTAAACAGTGTTAAAGAAAGAGAGTGCAATAGTACTTTGAGCGATCACCTCTTGCAAAAATGAAAAAAAAACCAAAAAACAAAAAACAAAAAACCCCAAAACAAATCCAGTACTAAGGTTTGGTGATTATTAAATCACCAAATCATATTGCCCTTGTTTCAAACTCACTATATTTTCACTGCTGGTTTACTGAACAAAATGTTTGGGTTTACACTTGACAGTAGATTTGATGCCAGTGTAAGGGACAGTTGCTAATGCATAATTCTAAGTTCTATTTTTTATGGTACTTTGCATGATAACCAGATGTATCACAAATCAAGTCTTGACCATGACAGAAATTTGAAAAGAAAATTGCTCTGGACATTACCATTCTACACATTACCAGTTACGACACTAAGTACCTGGCTCAAACTTTATATCCAATACCAAGAAGCAGCTGGCAATTTTCTCTTTCGTTTCTGCTCTAAGTTCAGGTGGAAGATTCTTGCATTTATCTGTTGTGTCTCTTAGGCTGGACTGAACAACATCACTACATCTAATTCAGGTGAAGGAAGGGAGAAAAAAAATGTATCAGATAAGATTCACTGCCAAAAAAAATGAGACAAAGTGTCTTTTCAATCCATTCTTACACAAGCTTAAATGGATTTTCAAACAACTGATTATAGGCCAGATCATAACATCTTATGCTGCAGGCCAAACTAGAATGCTACAGTATGTGTGTATGTATATACAAGTACATCTGTAAACATTTATATATACACACACAAACACATATGCATAAAAAGGAAGCACCCATCTTTTTCTTACTGCTAAATATTAAACTTATGCTTTCACCTGGATATTAACATAGTTTATTGTGTGTAACACCCTATAAAGGGACATTTAAGAAGACGTTACTCATTTTCTTCTCATTAAAGCCACACATATGGCTGGTATTTAAAAACATGCAGTGCCACCAATTAACACAGAGTAAAACAATTCTTAGGTACAATATCAACTCTTTAAGAAATGCATAACATATTTAAATGTATTTTACCCATTTGTGTAGATAATTAATACTGTCCAGTATTTTATAGGGGATTTACATTCTTCTTTAAAAAAGTCAGCACAAATTCACAGGAAACAACTCTGTCAAATGAATTCCACAGCAGCATATGTAGTGAGTCACTGGGTGAAACTCTTTTTTATGAACACATTAGGAAAGTTGGCGTTCAGTTCTAGGACAATTCTATTATCAATCTGTGAACAGAAGGACACATCGAGTAAAGAAAGATCTTTACAAGATTCCAGCAATTTTCTTAAAGATGCAGGGCTTACCATCCTCGTCCCTGTTCAAAAACAAAAGAGAAACAAAACAAATTGTAAGGTTACGGAGAATAGTCTATTTTTTTAAAGCTGCTAATACCGTGTCATGAAAAAAAGTGCTACTATAACACGATTTTTATTTAGATTATTTCAATTAGATTTAAAATCAAAAGCTTCTCAGAAGCAGTGCAGAATTTTTGCCTTTAAGAAGCCTGTGGTAGTTTCCTAAGCCAACTATTTAAATAACTCCATCATTTTCTATTGGGGGGTAACTTTACAGCTTCAGGGGGAATTTCTAACTACAGAAGCTGACCCCAAGTACCCACAGCTACAAGACCTCCCAGTGACCAGATGATGGGCTTTGGCAACATGCAACACAGTATGCTACACTCATGCTCTCATGACTCTCCTGCTGACAGCAATGACCAGCTCAGCACACGAGCTATTATGGGCTACTCCCCATTCCAAATAAATCAGCAAGGCTTCTAGGACTCTAGAGTGAGTATGGGTATTACGCACATGCAGTTGTTCAAGAGACTACTAATCATATCCATATATACACTAACTGCAACAGAAAACACACTATTTATCCCTGCTAAAAACTTGACCACAGTGACTGAACTCCTAAGTGTCACACAGGCTCAGATCAAGCATGGGATTGAGTCAGAAATCAAACAAATAGGTGTTTATGAGCATGCATCCACATGCCCATTATAGCTGACGGCAATCTAGTCAGTACAGACAGTGGTGCTCAGCACGTGATTCAGTTGAATGGGCACTGAGGTATGATTCAGTTGCCTAAAGTGCCTAGTGCCTCTTGGGCTTCCTTACACCATGTAGGACATCCACACAGAGCTGGTAGACAGGACTCTGACCCACAGGGGGAGATCCATGCCTTACTGGAATGGCTGGAAGCCAGGCAGGTTATTCTCAGCAAGTGAACCAAGCCTGGATGTCTACAGTGGGCTAAATTGCTCATCAAGCTCTCCTGACTCTAAGAAGAGTTTATACATCCAACACAACTGCAGACACCTGCTGGTAGACACTTCAACATACACAGCTCCGTCTTGAGCTGAACTGCACCCCAAAAAGCCACCTAGTCCAGGATTTTATCTATGGCTATTGCCAATAATGCTTACCAAAAAAAAAAAAAAAGCAAGAGCAGATTTTTAAACCAGCTTTTCACTGGTGGGTCTTCTCAACTGCCAAAAATTATCAGTTTAGGGATTTCTGAAGCTACATTTCATGAACACTACTACTTTTCTGGACTTCTTTATACTTATGGTCCCTTCACATGAGTTCTACAGTTTAACTATATAACATTAAAAAAAAAAGAAAAAAATCAACCTTAAACCCACTGCCTATTAATTGCAATAATTAAGGGGCAATGAATCATACAGAAGCAGTGGGAGATCATTCCCAGTTCACTATTTCCACATCACCCATAGTCCTATGGACATCTCTTCCGTTCCCTCAAGGCTGGCTGTTTTCCAGACTCTTGTATTTCAGATGATCCCTGTTGTCTTGTTTCTGCACTAATTTAGTACTTTTGAAATCGGATGACCAGAACCATACAGTGCACTGAGCACAAAGTCAGTAACTGTATAACGAGGTCTTATGGTGTTTTCTCCATTTCTTTCCTAAGAAATCCTAACCTTCTGTTTGTCTGTTAGAATGATGCTGAGCAACGAGCTGATGTTTTCCAAAAATTGCCCACACGATCACTTTCCTACAAAACAGTAACTTATATAAAGCCATCCCCCAATATCCTTCGTTAATGTTATTTCGCCTCATGTGATTACTTTGCACTTGATGGAACTGTTTTCCTCCTGCTTTGTCATCTGTTTACTAAGAATTGTAAGATCATTCTGCAATTTTTCAGCATTAAGTTCTTCTGCCTAAGATTTTTCTGCTCTGAATTATCTGTGCACTACTCTTTGGTACAGCATTATTCATCCCTTTGCCTGGATTACTTATAAACAGAGCAGTACAGACCCTTGGTGATCACAGTAGTGATGTAACTTCACCGTGAAAAGAGAGGATACATTCCTATCCTCTGTTCTCTGTCTTTGAAACACTCATTACAATCCAGGAGAAGGCAGCTAAGCTACAAAAGCAGAACAGCCTTGGCTAAAGCTTTTGAAAATCCAATCCTCTATGGACTGGATCAGTGCTCACCTCCACCAAGAACTCCAAGGAATTCTACAAGATTGGAGAGGCATGACTATCCTCATGGAGACACTGCTCTCCTTCAAAATACCTGTACCGTAATGGCCTTCATGTCCACTGACTGACTGACTTTCTTATGGTTGCAACTGGTTTACACAAAGCAAAAGACAATCTTACTGTTTTGTAGCTTCTAACCTGCACTCTTTACAGAAGATTTTGCCATGTTTGTAACCCTTCATTCCTCTAGTGCTGAGGCTGATTTTAGTGACAGATCACACACCAGAAATAAGATTTCCACAGCCCTGTATTTGAGCTCATTTAGAACGGCTGCATAAATACTATTTAGTCCTAACAATTTATTATTGTTCTATGTATTGATTTGTTCAAAAGCTTCCTGTATTGGCATTCCAATTTAAGGCAGCTTTCCGGGCTAATCTCCCGGAAAGAATGGCTCTGATGTAGCAGCCTACTTGATCCCCCTTGCCATGAACACTAATGGACAGACAACAGTTCTCCTGCAAAGGCCTTCTCGTATCTGAGGGATCCTTTACATCTGGAGTATCTACCAACCTCAGTAACTCTCCTGTAAACTACTTCTAACATATCTGAAATAAAATTTTAGCATTTACCTTTAGCAAATGGTTCCTTAATATCTCATTCTGCCTTACTGTGATTTTGTTTCACTTTCTAGAGTTCATCTTCCTATTTTTCTTCTCTGAACAGGATTAATTTCCAGAAAGATGCTTCTGTTTTTAGTAGTCTCCTGCACTCTTCTTTGTAAGCAAGGGGTATCTAAGTGCGGTCTTCACTTCTTCTATGGTAGGCTCTCGGATTAGCTGCTTTGAGACATCATTTAACACCACCCGAAAACAGTCTTCGCTATCATTCCCCCAAAGTTTACCTCATCTTCGCAAAGGTAATCAAAGCTTGTCATTATTATTGTGATTTTTAACCCCCTTATCATTATACAATCACTGTCACCACAACCGTGTGGTGGTTGATGTAACAGTCCCTATAGTCACACACAGAAATTCTGTAATACGCTTTAGTTATTTACTTCACTTGACCATAATTTTACCATAGTACCACTGTCCTACCAGCAGGATCTGCTCCACCATTCCAACCAAAACTCCAGGAACACCACATTATGCTACTCATCTTTTTTCCACCAAGCCTTAAAATTGCTACTGCATCAGCACCTTCATTTAAAACCAGTCTCGTTTACACATCACAGCTTTTAAGCTTCAAGATCCAAATGTGCGTTTCTACAAAAATGCTAGATCTAGATGCCTAGCCACAGATTTTTTGTGTAGGATGTTCTTCATTCCTTCCTACCTGAACTTCGACAGTTCTACCGTTTCATCTAAGACTAAGATTTTTAATGGATTTGTAACTAAATAGGTCATCCTAAATTACACACTTTACTGCACCTGTTTCTTTTTTCCTCCTCAGACTTAAAATTTTATGTTAGGAAGTATCTTTTTCTAAAAGCTAAAACAGCAAGTAATCTAGTTGGCGTTTGGTTATTCACACCAGGGGATAAGCAAACATCATCCGCAGCCTTACTTTTATTTATACAATGTACAATTAGTGATATACGTATTTCTTAAAAGCACATTCAAAAGCATTTCAGAAGTGTTATATAGCACATTTTCCTTTGCCTTTGAAAGACTGACAATGTATCCTGCTAGTTACCTATATGTAGTGCATTTTTCTAGAGTTTGGAGGCTTTGTTACTACAACTTTTCCTACATGGACTAACCGGCCATTTCTCAGAATAAATACATAACCAGTACATTAAAATCCGCTATTTAATTTTGTTGTTCAGTTTATTCCCTGGAAAAATCCTCTGGTATCGCCTTTGTAAAAGGCATTTCTGAGTAATGATTTCTTTGCTAGAACAATTATTTTTATTTGCTGTAAATTACTTCATTTATATCTATCATATATCCAAGTCTTCAAATTCTAGAGTTGTTCAGGAGGCCTGTGTATGATACCTATAAAAACTGCCAGAGCCCCAATTTCTAGGGCAAGGGATATTACTACACACCAAATAATATTTAAGAGTAGAGACCCTGAAAATGACTAGCACTATTCCCTCAAACATTCTTACTTTTCCTTTCCTCCCCTAGACCAGCCAGACTAGCCTTTTATTCTTTACATTTTATTCAATCTATTGCACACAACCCAAATTCTAAATTTTAATGTGCTACACATTTTCATGTTTGAATTGACTAACTACGTGTTGATGCTCTCAAGATAAAGCTGAAAATTTTGACAGCTGGCAAGGGGGCACTTGGGTTTTCTGTTGCTCAGGAAGGTGTGGGAGGTGTTGGTATGTAGATAGGAATACATGAATTTTGCAGTAACAAGGGTGTCTACTTTTCATTACTCTCTTTGTGCAGGACAGAGGCAGTCAGGACTTTTGGGGAGCAAGGTTAAGATGACTTATTCTTCATCCTCGACAGCGGCTGGTAGCCCCACAGCAACATAACTAAGCAGCTGATACAAGATGTACAAGAAAAGCTTTTGGCACTGCCAATTCAGGTTGTCATCTGACTCGTCACATTGCTCAATGCTGATCACAGTTTGAAGACTAGTTTTTAACTACAGGTCTAGAGGTGTCCACTTAACTTTTGATAGCACTGGATGATGTACTCCATCACTACAAAACTGTCAGATGATCACAGCCAGATCACTCTACTGCAGGGTGGAAACCCACCATGTCAGTCAAGTGAAAAGGATGTGGGCAGAGAAGGAGATTATACTGGTAGGCAGGCAGCTCAGTATGTAATGGGTAAAAGAAAGCTCAGAACAAAAACTTCAAGAAGCACACCCTCATGTACTCAGTGACACACTTACATCATGCTTCCTCTTCCAAATTATTATAAGACAGCAGATATGGATCCAATTCTTTTTGTTTTTTTTTAAACAGAAATTTACTTTCTGAAGTATGTTTTACACACCACAAACACAGCCACTCATCAAACAATGCTTTACATGGGCCAGTAATTTTATGGAACCCTTGAAAACTGGCAATTTTCATCTTCTACGGGGTCCTCTGATTCTGTAACAAGGGAATTGCCAAATAATAATGGAGAGACTAAGGAAAGGACAGATAGGTAGCAAGCCACAGGACCTACCACCTGAAAACATCATCTAGGGTATATATAACATCCATTTTGTAACACTTAAATTAACGACACACAGTTCAACAAGATTTCTTTCAGAGGCTTAGACTCCTCCAGTCCTGAAGCTATTGTGGTGATAAATAATCTATAACTGAAACAAGAAGTTTTCCCTGACAAGTTCGTAAGTTCTAACAAGTTCGTAAGTTCTCTCTTCTGCAGAGAGAAACCAGTACAGTACTGTCAACGCTGGTGACTGCAATGGAAGATAAGACATTCTCATCCCTACTTAGGTAGGTGCCTGTATATAGCAAAAAAACTCAAGCTTTTACACACCTTTGTTGAAGCAAAGTAAGTTCCTTTACAGCATGCACTGCTAACCTGGCAGCAATACTTCTACACCCTTCACAATGCATGTACAAGCCAGACATTTCTGTACTTGGGAGATGACAAAGGATATAATGAGAGTACCTCTTGTTCATTCACATCATAGAGAAGACCCACTGTTCAAGGTTACTCTTGCAAAGCTGAGCACTGACCTCAGGCCTCTAACAGCTTCAGACCTGTTGTCACACTTCTTCAAAAGGACAAAAACATATTAAGCATTTATATAGCTTATAGTAACAGGATGGCCCTACATCAGCTGCCAAAATTTAGAGCACATACAGAGATTTATAACTTTCTCTGTACTCCTGCACTGTGAGAGACTAGCTCTTTAGTTCAGACAACAGTGACTTCTGTACTTGCACGGGAACACCTGGCAACTCTACCTCCAGATGGCCCGATGTGGTTCTACTTAACAACTCTTTCTTTTAACCAGACTGTAATGGTTCCCATATTCAGACAAAGAAATGAACACAGTTTCCTTGCTGTTGCCAAAAAAGCTGAGTAACTCCTTCACATGTATCGCATCACCTTGTACTGACTCATTTACAGCAGAAGACAACCTTTTCCCGCTCCTACTAAGCATTCCTATGAAGGAAGATAGCAAGGTCTGGAAGGTGGATATTAAAGTTTTTGGTAACATCTTGCAGATAATTCAACCGGATATCCTCTGGAGAGCACCTATCTGAACCAAACATGCAGTCTCACTGCGAAAGGTTGACTACAAATACCCTTGACTCAGGAATACTGGTAAGCACCCAGGGAACAGAACAAATGCCTTTTCCACGTTCACACGTTATTTTCCCACAAAAAAATCAATAAGATGTTAAACTGAATTCAAACATGAATTCAAATGATGAAGGAGAAGTGTGGCAACAAACCTTTACTGCCAGCAGAGAGGCAACAGAAGTAGCAGACTATCCGTAGGCTTAACACAGCCGAACTATTCATTGGGCAGCCTCTGGTGTAGTGAAAAGGTCAGACCACTTTGTGGGCAGACACAATGCCATTGTAGTAGAAATGCATGGAAGTGGGTGGTCAGGAGAACATACGTGTTGATGAAAGACTTCATTCACTATACTGTTTGGAAATTTTTCATGTCTGAATAGGGAAATGTGCCCTTGATAATCTAGCTACAAAATAGATTTCCTTAAGGATATGCAAAACGCATCACCCCTGTGGAGATATACATCAAGTCTCTACAATTTGTACTAGGTGGAGATAAGTTTTTATCTGTTCATCCTCCTTTCCCACGTTGGTCAGAAAGCAACTTTCTCAGAGATGAGTAAAACCATATTTCATGGTAGAAGAGTGTACTAGCTATACTGGAGTGACAATCTGAAGCCATATGGCAAATTTTTTGTAATGAGAAATGCTGATAGCCTTAAACTTGCTTGGAACATTATTCAAGTTGAGGGCTCTCAGTTCTTTCCAGCATCTATCTCAACCTAAATGTAATATTTTCATTAAAATTATTACATATTAAAAATACACAGTGCAGCTACTTTCTTCCCTTTAATTTAAATCTTCCTTTTTCAACTAACCCTGTGAAAATAAGTCAGTAAAGGCATGAAGAAATTTCTCCCACCTTGATGTCACAAATACCCCTGCTGTCCTACATTATTTCAAAAAGAAAACCTCATATTCCACCATAAAAAGTATAAATTCAGTATAATGCAAAACTACATTTCTCAAAGTCCTTACTCAAGAGTCCAAAGTATATTTACTTTAGATTTCTAAAAATATTTTTAACTATAGAAGCTGCAGAGGATTAGAAATTTAAGATTTGCTATGCTTTTTGCCCCTCATCACTTCCTTCCCACCTTAGAAGAAAGTCCATTTTAAGTTTTGCTGCTAATTACCTTTTCCTCTTTAATGAGTCAAATTCACTTCCTGGTAAAAGTGACAAAGAAATTCAATATTGCTTGGTGTATCTGTATTGCGCAGAAACAGAAATCTGTTTATTGATCACTGACTCGCACTATAAATATACACAGAAATAAAACAACAAACAAAAGCAGAAAAAAGGAGAAGTAATTGGATCTTCTGATAGTCAAAAGATAAAGATTTCAGTTGAAAAAACTAATGGTCACGAAACTAAAAATTACTGGAAAAATCTCACACTTAAATCTCAGTTTAAGCAATTCATACTAAGCAGTCAAATTACACGGTTGGTATAAATCCACCGGATTCTAAGTCAGAAACTCACTGTAATGAGTAAAACTTCCCTCCGTTTTTTTTATATGCTAAACCATAATTTTAAGAAATATTTGTCTAAAAATATATCTAGAAGACCATTTTGTTTTAAGAACTCCTTTTTAACTGCAAGACTTTTGAGACACAGTAAGAAATATACCAATAGTTCTACATTTTCTTACCCAATATATCCAGCTGCCGTAAATGCGTACAGTTAGCAGCAAGCTCCTCAATGTCTGTGTCACACACAGACCTGTTGGCTGTAAGAAAGAGCTTTTGCAAGTTTGGGAGTTTACGTGCAAGGTTTGTGAAACAGCCTGTACTGCTCTGTAACGTAGGGCACCAGCCGAGATCAAGTTCTTCCAAAAGCTGGCAGCCTGAAGCCAATTCTGCTATTCCACTTTCAGTTATGTTTTTACATCTCCACAAATCCAGACTGCGAAGCTTTTTGCATTTTGCTCCCATCATGCTTGCTATAAGATCATAGTCTTCAATCTGTAAGGAAAGCAAACACTTTGTCATGTATGCCATCTTTTCAGACACACATAGGTGTTTCAAGATTTGCTTGCTAACACACCTACGGATCTGTCTTGAGCATTTGTCATTTCTAAAGAGCTTTGAAAATTATTCATTGTACAGTGAGGTCTACTTTTACAAAAGAAAAATAAAATAAATTTCCTATCAACCCCCAAACATAGGTGGTTTTAAATTCACTTAATTCTAAAGATCAGTGAAAATGCAGTGAAAAGTTCATTTTCTTTGAAAACGCCTTCTTTCTACTGCACAGTTGTTTTTCCTTCAAAAGATGATTAAAACTGTTTTTATGACTATAGGCACTGCCACCATAACCACATACAGATTGAAGAATGTGCTTATTTCCATTCTAGGTTGATCAGTTGCTACATCTCATAGAATCATAGAATCGTTTGGATTGGAAGGGACCTTAAAGATCATCTAGTTCCAACCCCCCTGCCGTGGGCAGGGACACCTTCCACTAGACCAGGTTACTCAAAGCCCCATCCAACCTGGCCTTGAACACTTCCAGGGATGGGGCATCCATAACTTCTCTGGGCAACCTGTTCCAGTGCCTCACCACCCTCATAATGAAGAATTTTTTCCTTATACCTAATCTAAATCTACCCTCTTTCAATTTAATTACCCCTTGTCCTGTCACTACATGCCCTTGTAAAAAGTCCCCCTCCAGCTTTCTTGCAGGCCCCCTTCAGGTACTGGAAGGCTGCTGTAAGGTCTCCCAGGAGCCTTCTCTTCTCCAGGCTGAACAACCCCAACTCCCTCAGCCTGTCTCCGTAGGAGAGGTGCTCCAGCGGTCTGACGTGGCCCTCCTCTGGACTTGGTCCAACAGGTCCACGTCCTTCTTACGTTCGGGGCCCCAGAGCTGAACGCAGTACTCCA